ACACACACACACACACACACACACACACACACACACACACACACACACACACACACCTGAGGTCATAAAAGACAACTTGTTTTGTATTTGTTGAAACATTTTAAATGGAATGGTTAAAGGCTCTGTGTGTAACAATTAGCGCCATCTAGTGGTCAGATTAAACAGTGGCCATCTTGGATTACATAAATATGAACCATTACAGATTTCATATTATTAAAACTAAATCTGCAGAAACTTTTTATAAAAAATAAAATAAAATCAAGTGGTAATATATTTTAATTTAAGACACATATATAGCTGGTGGATATAGCTCGCTAGCAGCCTCGCACCGAGGACCTATCCACGTCATCATTTACCCAGAATGCTTTGTGTGCAAATAAAATGGCTCCGTCCGTGTTAAAATACATTTTTAAAAATGTACAAAACTAAACATCCTACAGTATTTTAAATAAATTTAAAATTTAAAATAAATGTTTATTAAATAAAGTCTAATGTTACAGCTAATCATGGATCCTTCCAAAGTGCTGCAGGTGTTTGTGTGGAGACTTCATTAATGTGATTTTCCTGTTTGTCCATCTGTTCCAAAACAACCACAGGAGTTGAATGAAGAAAACAGTCTTGTTTGGGGTTATGTTGGTCCAGACCAGCAGAGAGAGTCTGCACATCCAACCAGCTGCCACTGAATCATTCCCCCTGCTGGCCTGCTCTGCTGGGTTCGCTTCATTCTGTCTGTGTGATGGAGATAACCAGGCTGAGGGCAAACTGGCTTCTGTTTCACAGCTTCTGAACTGACCGTGACTCTTTTTTTAATAACGCTGGTTTGATTGGTTTTAGAGAAGCTCATAAGCAGCAGGGTGGGCTCGTCTTCTCACTGCCCTTTGTTGTGTTTCTGTTTGGTACCAGAGTTGAATGTTTACAGTTGTTTCCAGCTGCAGATGAGTGACAGACCAGTTTTATTTATATCTATTTATTTATTTAAGACGTTAGCTTTTTTTCCTAACAGAGCTGTCCTGCAGGATCACAGAGGTTTATTTAAGCCTCCTGCTGTCAGCTCGTTGTGTTAGTCAGTAGATCTGACACCAACAGTCATTGTGCGTGGCTCAAAAACACACTGCTTTGGTACGTGTAGCTCAGATTTTCACTTTACAATGATGGTAGTGTTTGCCCCAGCCTGATTATGAGTCATCACTTTATATTTCCTCTTACAATAACTGTATTGATTCAGAGCTCTTTGAGTTGATTAGGATCAAAGCCCTGCTGTGTGTTCTGTATGTTCTGAGCTGCTGTTTGWTTTCTGACTGAGGCTCTAACATTCATGTGAAACTCTGCAACAAGCTGCAGGACAAAAGCAGAGTGTTCATTCTTTTCCTTTAAATGATGAAATGTAAGTGCTGTTTTTCCATCTGTTTGTAGTTWCTGACTGACTCTTTGGTTGGTGTTGGTCCATTATGACTGACACACAAGTTACACATTTTTTCTCTTCCATTCTAACCGTTTGGTCCAGCTTTTACAGATGATCTTCCTCTGGATTGTTGGCCCCCTCAGGGCCCTGTCCCCTCTGGGCCCTGCCCCCTCTGGGCCCTGCCCCGTCTGGGCCCTGCCTCCTCAGGCCCCTGCATGCCCAGACCCCTGCCCCATCTGGGCCCTGCCCCCAGGCCCCTGCCCCCTCTGGGCCCTGTCCCCTCTGGGCCCTGCCCCCTCTGGGCCCTGTCCCCTCTGGGCCCTGCCCCCTCTGGGCCCTGCCTCCTTAGGGCCCTGTCCCCTCTGAGCCCTGCCCCCTCTGGGCCCTGCCCCCTCTGGGCCCTGCCCCCAGGCCCCTGCCCCCTCTGGGCCCTGTCCCCTCTGGGCCCTGCCCCCTCTGGGCCTTGCCCCCAGGGCCCTGCCCCCTCTGGGCCCTGTCCCCTCTGGGCTCTGCCCCCTCTGGGCCCTGCCCCCTCTGGGCCCTGCCCCCACTGGGCCCTGCCCCCTCAGGGCCCTGTCCCCTCTGGGCCCTGCCCCCTCTGGGCCTTGCCCCCAGGGCCCTGCCCCCTCTGGGCCCTGTCCCCTCTGGGCTCTGCCCCCTCTGGGCCCTGCCCCCTCAGGGCCCTGCCCCCTCTGGGCCCTGCCCCCTCAGGGCCCTGTCCCCTCTGGGCCCTGCCCCCTCT